AAGAGAGCACCAGGGATTTTCAGACTATTTTCCCTACATTTTAAGCAATTTGGGGTTTTAAAAAGGTGCATTAGGCATACCGAATTTATTTGATTTCCTGTCACTAATCAGAAAAACAAAACCAAAAACACCCCTATTGTTTGGGAATCTTGGGGACATATGGTCCTCCAGAGATACAGTTCCTCTACTGTAGGGTTCTCCAAAGTGGTCAGTATTGACTACCAAGGGATGATGGGACTATCCAAGGAGTCAATGTCACTGCTGTTATTCTTATTCTTATTATTTGTAATACTATTAGTTAAAATAGTATTTGTGAAATTATTTTCATATAATAAATGTTTGGGAGTTGATGAATAATCTGAAACTTCATGAAGGGGTTGATGAGCTGAAGAGTTTGGGGACCCCTGATCTACTGTATCATCAAAGTTTTGTCATTCTTTAAGGTGTGGTTGATCCCACCAACATCCCTGCAATCTTCCTTTAATATTAAGTAAAGCACTGTAAGTTAAGCATTTTTCATCTGCACATTTCATGTACGTTCTGGTTTGCTAAATTGGACAGTAAACCCAACAGAAACATCATACAATTTTAACAAATGGTCAAATTATTTGCAACCTACATCACCTCAGGATAACAGGCAGAAATGTGCACACAACATAAGCCACCTGAAATATAAGTAGCCCAGTGATATTATCATGTTGTCACAAGGAAGAGAAATAATAATACCCTGTTATTTCCACAGCTGCTTGTGTCGTACGCGATGCTACAGGGAATGTCAATAATACAGTTGTATCTGGAATGAATTGCAATGGATCATCTGCTTGTGCCCTAGGCTATGATTTCTCCAGCTGTAAAATCCAGACATGTGATTATGGGCTGATGAATAATTTCCAGGTTCAAAAGCATGCTAATTATCCAATTTGTATAACTGTGTGTGTGTGATGCCGTATATTGTACATAATAACATAAACTAATACACACACAAGCATACAGTTCTGTGTACTAGTTGGCTTTTCAATATTTCTACTGACAATCTAGCTGGGGTGGGGGTGGGGGTTGGGGTAGGTATGTATGTGGGTAAACTGAACTGAAACACCCTTGACATACTAGTACACCCAAACTATATTTTAGGTACTTCCTTATTCAAATTATCATAAATTATGGCTTGAAGGAGGAACAACAGCTTAGTAGGAGAGCATAAATTTTCCACATGCAAAGTTCCATATGTAGCTTGTACCTTGTAGCTCCAATTAAGATCAACAGAGAGGAGAAAGAGACCCTCTTGAGATCTTGAAAAGCTTCTTCTAGACACAGTACACAAGGATCTTCTATTAGACAACAGACCATACTTTAATCTGTGATAAGTCACTTTTTGTTCCTAAGTTTATTCAAAATAATGTTCGGTCAAATGAATGGAATAAGAAAACAGGCATCCTCAAAGTTCATGATCTGTGTTGGAATTCCATCAAAACTTTAGATTGGAGCAATTAATTGCAAAGTGCACAGCCAAATTAAATACTAAGTGATAGAAAATATTTACCCAAACTACACCATGAAAAGTTGTGTGAACTTGGAAGTTTACTATTTTAGGGACTATATTAAAAGTGTATCTACCAGAAACACATACTGCATCTATTAGGTATAGCTCCATCAATGAAATGTCTCACAAAAGTTCTCTGTCCATATCTGGTCTCTCTAGTAACTTTCCCAGATACCAGTTCAGTGAAGTTGTTGATAGAACTTTCTTAAGTAGATGGTGCAAGGCAACCTAGTTATATACAAGCCTGGATTGGAGATGGTTACACAACCAATTTCTCTTTTGCTGATACAAAGATTGCTCACTTCTTAAAATATATGTAGCTTGCTTTTTATGGCATCTTGTTCCTAATATGAGTCTCTTCTGAATGGCATCATTTGCAGAAGAAATAAAAATTATGCCTTTGGCTTCAAAAGGAACAAAACAAGATTCAATTAAAGAACAATTTTCCCCATTATAAGCAAACTGTTTTCTTGACAACAAAAAGTAATTTGCTGTGCTGAACAGTCTCCCTGACAAGTTGTTAATGGATGACTTGAAAGATAATAGAGAGGAGCTGAAAAACAATGCATGTTGTTATAAATTTAACAATTGAGGGGTTTGCAAATTCTGTTTATAGCCTAGCTTGTACAAACTTCGTGGCCTTCTTTTATTCCTGTTTTTCCTTCCCAAAGGTTATGAGCATGGTTTCAGGGTTTGGACCCTTAATCACCGCTGGGATATTTTCTGCCACGCTATCCTCAGCATTAGCTTCACTTGTGAGCGCACCCAAGGTTTTCCAGGTACGTTCAGAAGCAAACATGTTTTGTATGTTTTCCTGTAACTGTGTAATTTGCTAGCCCATGCTTATGCTGACCAGCTAATCACTGGTCTGTGTGTTTCAAATACAACAGGTGCAGGTCCCATAGATTATGTTAACACACTTTGCAAGATAAAGACCCTAATCATACTTTGAGCAGTTTAGAAAAGGCTTGAGAGAATGTCTTGCATCACTTAACAACTCAAAAGGGCTTTCTTCTCCTCTGTTCGGTGAATAGATGCTCCCCTCACCCATACTCTTAATATAATGCCACTACTACAGAGATGCTACTTCTTATGGTTGTGTCCTTAATGGGATGTCTGAAAGCTGTGGGAGAGCACTGATCACAAGGTTACTTGTACAACCCAGTATGCTACACAAGGGTGCTGATAGAGTTATTACATCTTTCATCCCCTCACAAGGTTGCTGTGCTCCCAGTTAACATCAGATTAATATGGAAGGAGACCATGCTAAGTGACTGCCCATTCATAGTGATGTAAAAACCAAGACTTTACTGATGCATCACCTCCTATGAAGGGTGTGTTGTTCTTCTGACAGTAAACAAGAGACCAAGAAATCAAGAATTAGGTTTCTTAACCAAGCTCTGCTCTTTTGACAGGCTCTCTGCAAGGATAACATCTATCGAGCACTCCACTTTTTTGCCAAAGGATATGGGAAAAATAATGAACCAATCAGAGGATATGTTCTCACTTTCATCATTGCCATGGCCTTTATTCTGATTGGTAGGTACAACTCAGATAGTATTGGATTGATGTTTGCAGTGGGGAAGACATACAGTAGTCTAACAAAGATACTAGTGAATACATCTGGACTAGGTGAAGGAAGAAACAACTATTCCAATGGAAATCTATCATAAAAGCGCCATCTCAATTCTGATCAACAAAAATTAGATGATAGACCTTCTACAGCGGTGACAAAAACCCCACGGTCCAAATAAAAAGAAAAGAAAAGATGCCATCCACTGAATGACCGAATTGACATACCAAGCTAAACCATTATGTGTCAACGTTTTTGCCTTGCACTCAAGCCATTATGATTTATAAGCCACGGTTTAACCTTAACACAGGTACCACCGATCTGCACAATATATGAGAATGGTTGAACCAACGGAAGCTTTGCTCTTCCAAAGGTTTTGTTTGATGCCTGTCACCCCATTGCTACAAATATCTGCCTAGTATATACACCTTGCTCAATTCCTTAAGAAATCAAGCAACCGCCCTTCAAGGCATTTTCTTCAGTGTCTTTCAGCGTAGCATAAAGTCTGCTTTTTTCAAATGTCTACATAAATCAAAGGCCTGCTGTTCCAAACCATTAGCACAGTGAATTCTACCTGCTTTCATAATAGGTTCACAGCGCTGATCCCTGGGAGATTTCTGCTACAAACTTTCCCATTTGATCATACTTTATTTCATCCTACGCTGTTTAAAATTCCTTTGTGATTGCCTGTTTTGAATACACATCGCGTCGTCACTTTACAATGCAGACTTTTGGTGCACACCGTATCTATTCCATTCGAAAGAGAGAGAGAAAAGGTGAAGAAATCCTTGATAATTTTTGTTTCGTTTCATTTTTAAGAAACGGAGGACTTAAACAATTATATCTTCATGAAATAGTTCTGTCCAGATTCAAAGTTAAATCAGGTTAATCTATTTAGATCTGGCTTTGAAATCCTAAACAAGCCCAAACATAACAGTAACAAAACAGCTCTTAGCACCAAATACAACATCTTAAATATAAAAATTGCAGAAACAAACCTGTAAGAATACTTTCCTCGCAGCAGTAACACATATGTTCCTAAACTGTGATGTAGTATTTTATTTATTTATTTTATTTATTAAATTTATATGCTGCCCATCTCCCCCAGAGGGCGACTTATATAGTATATTAGGTGTTACTGTCAAACAGCCTTCCTATGTTATCTTGAGCTATTAATAGAAATATATGTATACTCATATGCATATTAAAAATTGTTTCCAGATATGCCAAACATTATTTGATCTTAATCCACATCAGTAAATATATCCAATAATGCATAACCAACCTTTGCTTGATAGAGGGCCATCTTTTTCTAACCTTTTTTTCAAACATAGCCACCTTCTCTCTAAAACACCCTTGCTTCCCTCCCCATCTAATCATGATCTGATCATGTCTAAATTGGTAACTTCTGCAGGGTTTTTGAAAAGAGGTCCAGAATTTTTTGGACAAAGCTGTGAAAAAGATTGTAAAATCAGTTAAGCTTGTAGGACCTGTATACCGTGACTCCTATAATTTCATCACCCAAGACACCTTCCAAAGACAAATAAGTGGAAAGTGAATAGAACGGTAATTTATTTTCATTACCAGTCTTAGACTTCCAATATAAAATCATTTTAACTATATTTCCTTTTCTTGTTCTAATTTCAAGACGTTAATATCTTAGACTTTCTTACTCCTTTTCTGGGTTCGTACCCAAAAGAGAACATAGCACGATAGATATGTATGCCCAAATGTATACTTTTAAAACAGTCGCCCATTTCCTTTTTACCCTATTCAGCTGCTTCCTCTTGCTCTACTATTGTTAGGAGAAATGCGAGCTACAGACCTAGTACAGGGAGGATGTGTCCAGCAGTACAATGCACTCATATCATACACTTGTAGATTCACCCAGCAGATAGATACTATAGACGTGTGTATCCAAAACTAATTCTCTTCAAACATGCGGGCATCTTACACATATTTTGACATGTTTTCTTACAGCTGAGTTGAACACCATCGCTCCCATCATCTCCAACTTCTTCTTGGCTTCATACGCACTCATCAATTTCTCTTGTTTCCACGCGTCATATGCGAAATCTCCAGGTTAGTTTTATCACTGACTATTTTCACTTGCATCTACAGTGTATCTGATAGCTAGGTTTGTTTAGACCTTTTCCAGGAGCAAATAATTCCAGGATGCTTAAGCAGGAATGGGGCCAGGGGCTTCCTTTAATATCTGGGGGATCTGAGGGCTGCAAAGTAGGCATGGCCACGTTGCGCATGTGGGTGGAAGAGGGCTGAGGCATTGAGGTTTTTATGACAATAGGCCTATTTTAGGGCTTCCGTAACAGTTTTCACCAAACTAGCAAGCTAGAAGGGCGCCTCAAAAAGGGGCACTGAGAGCAGCATATGATGCTGGAGCTCCAGGCTTCCTATACTCATATTGAAGGCTAACATTATTGCATAGGGTTGTTGTTCATATTACTTGCTGCAAAATAAATTATAGAACCCTTTCAGTATGAACTTAGTTCGACAGGGTGTGGTCAAAAAAGATGGCAGCAGCAATGGCGCAATGGAAGCTCCACCTGTTTGGCAACCCCTGTGTGAAATGGTGGAGCTTCACAGCTGCTCTCTTGACTTCTTCGATCATACCCTGTGGACACATCTGGCCCGAAGGTAGGCATCTCAGGAAATGCTTTTGGATTTCATGCATTATTATGGTTAATAAAAACATCTTTTCTATTAAATATACAATTAATCCTCACGTCTTTCCAGAAAACAAAGGCGATGTGTCTTCTGCCCAAAGCTTGCACAACATGCTGAAGAAAAGCTGTGTTTTACTCCTTTGAGGGTTACCTGTTATATTGTGGCATATGTTTTATTGGGCGACAAATGTGTTTTATTAGATGCAGGGAAATGACTGAGGGCAGTAAATATATATTGGGGCAGGAGAAGCTGGATCTTAACAAGTGAAATAAATCCAAACCGCCACGTAGTGTCAGCTGCCGACTGCTTGAAAATCCTCTCCTTTCATTAGTAACTTTACCAGATCCAAAGAGGCTCAGAACAAAACCATGTAAACAAAAATGAAAATAAAAATCAGTTAAAACCTTGTTCTGCTTGGCAACCCCAACTCCCACATTGGCAGTAATGCTTATTCAACACGGTAATACATAGCTGTTGGTCTGCCTTGGCTAGGGGTATTTATTTGTTGAATATAGGTTCCTTGAAGAGGTTGTAATTCTATATTGCTAAAAGAAGAACTTGTTACATGAAATTTGGACAATTCAGCAACGTGCCACCTTTCAACGGAGTGATCAATCCAGGGCTGCCAATAGACCTTTTACCATTTATCTCATTTCCGTTTCAGTTCCTCTACTCACTATATCCTACAGCTGTACATTTCACTTCATTATTAGTGAGTGTAACAAGGATGGAATCCTTCTGAGTCACCCTAGAACAGTGTTTCTCACCTTGGGCACTTTAAGACCTGTGGACTTCAACTCCCAGAATTCTCCAGCCAGCATGGTTGGCTGGGGAATTCTGGGAGTTGAAGTCCACACACCTTAAAGTGCCCAAGGTTGAGAAACCCTGCCCTAGAAGCTCCTGCCACAATCTCCTGTTGGACAGGGAATCAAATTTCCCCAATAACTTCTGCCAAACCACGCGTCATTTTATAGAGGAAGATGGCTTACTCATAGCTGAGGGTCTTTGAATGATCCTATGGGATCTGCACTTGCAGAGTTTTCATGCCAGTAATTCCCTGGGATAGGTTAGCAATTATACTATTATTGTATTATTACTATTATTATTATTATTAATTGCTCTTTTGTTCTTTGTTGGATTTTAATCTAAGGTTCGCCGCCCAGAGTTGCAATTGTGAAACAGGCAGCTGTATAAATCGGTATAATAACATAACATGAAAGCGATAAGCCCACATTCTTACCTTGTGCCTCCTGCTCAGAGAAAGGGTCACCTCTCCCCCCTCGAATACTATTAGAATTGAGTCACCCAATTAAGCCTCCTGGCATTCATAAATTAGACTTGTCCAACCTGGGGCCCTGACAGCATGGATGAGCCCATGTCATGGTTAGTTTGAGTGCTGATGAGTCTAATCATATGGGATTTTGATGTCATTTTGGGGGGTTTTCGTTCAGGTTGTTTTGATTGCTTTTATTCTGTTTTAATCGTGAGCCGCCCAGAGTCCCGTATATGAAATGGGTGGCCTACACCTTTACTCAACCAATTAGGGTTGATTAGAATTGACCCACTCGTTCTGACTCCCATAGGCTGGAGACCTGCCTTTAGGTATTACAACATGTGGGTGTCCCTCTTCGGAGCCGTGCTTTGCTGCGGCGTCATGTTTGTCATCAACTGGTCGGCAGCTCTGATCACTTACGCAATTGAGCTCTTTCTTTATATTTATGTGACATACAAGAAGCCAGGTAAGGCTCGGGAAGGCGGGGGGGAGGATGGTTCTAGGGGAAAAGCTACCGGAGGGAGTCTGGTGCAGAATTCTGTGTATTAGAAATAATTTCTAATACCAGCGTCCGCTCCTGTTCCTTTTTTGCCCACTCTGAGTTAAAATCTCATGGCCCCAAAGTTTTGGCCTGCCCTGCGTGTAATCGATTGGCACGATATCCTTGTTGTGACTACAGCGTGGGTACCTACATTCACAGCATATGTTCCCACGCCATATCCTAGCCCACTATTTCTCAAGCTTGCCCACTTTAAGAGGTGTGGACTTCAACTCCCAGA